TTAACAGTACAAATTACTAATGACATTAGAGATCCAAAAATTCAGTATCTGTTTGTAAGTTAGCATTAACGATTTCTAATTGTATTTCAGTATCTTCATTTATTGCAAAATTTTCCTATGTCTCACCAGCCTGGGATATGAATAGAACAAGTTTATAGTAACATTCCAAATTTTACTGCCTCTAGCACCTAGCTTCATAATACAGGAGACTGGTTTCCCCTTAAAAATTCCAACCAGTTGTTTTGAGCAATCCCAAAGCTGTCTCATGTGAATTCAAGAATTCCTCTTAAGTCTCTGTCCCAAACCCATGAAGCCATCTGAAGGTGGAGCCTTAGCACTGCTGCCCTTCCCTTCCTGAGAACTTCGAAGTCTAACCGAGATAGCACTATTCAACCACAAGTCCTTAAGATGCCAAAAGAACCTTCCTTTCTCTGGACTCCTTGCTGTACTCAAACCATACCCGGTGGTCATACTTTTTGAGAGATGCTTTTCTGAAGACCTCTATTAAGTCAAACTTGCCCTTCAAGACTAAAGCCACAATCGTTTACTTGCCAAAATAGTACCACTGTGTGGCATGAACTTAAAACTTTCCATTCATTTTGCCACCAGTTTTGAAATGAAGTACTTCTTGATAAAATTGTAATTTGAGGGCTTGTATTATTTTAGAATTTGTTACACTGTAAGACATTTGCAACATTTTTATCACATTTCAAATTTTTTTGGATTTGTATATATTTTATTAAATTTATCGAGGTGACATTGGTTAATAAAATTATGTAGGTTTTAAGTGTACAATTCAATAATACATCATCTGTATATTGCACTGTGTGTTCACCACTCAAAGTCAAATCTTCTGTCACCATATAGTTGACCTCCTTTACCCTTATCTACCTCCCTCCACCCTTTCCCTCTGGTGACCACTAAACTGTTGTTTGTGTTTATGAGTGTTTGTTTGTTTGTTTATCTTATTCATTTGTTGCTTTCAGTTTTATATCTCACATATGAGTGATATCATGCGGTTCTCAGCTTTTTCTGTCTGACATTGCGTTTAGCATCACAATCTCAAGATCCATCTATGCTGTTGCAAATGACAGTATTTCATCTTATGGCTGACTAATATTCCATTGTATACATGAACCACGTCTTCTTTATCCAATCATTGATTGAAGAACACTTCGGTTGTTATTTCAAATTTTTAAAATTTAAAGTCACGAAATTTGATGGCATCATGCCGCATGTGCTCTATGGAGGTGGAGGAAATGCCTTTCCTTACTTTGCATTGCACAAATAGTATATGTGTCTCATAGGAGCAGTTCTTTTGGATCTTGCGTGTAGTATCTTCTTCCTTAAGGCTCAAAGCCTCAATCATGAGACCAAGAGAGATGTCATGCAGCTTCCCTCCCCCCATCCTAGTCATTCTTTCAGATGATAGAAGAAAACTTCCTTTTGTCAAAATAAATTCAAAACAAAAATATCTAAGTTGATTTCTAGAACTTTAAAAAAAATTCATTAGAGATGCTCAGATAACTGAATTAATCAGATTTAGGCTGGGACCATCCCTTCCTTGTCCTTTATATTCATTAAATTTGAAAAATATAGAAAAGGATAATGAAGAGAAGGTGGGAAATTCCTCACATAAATTGAGTTGTCAGTGCAAATATATGGCCCTTGTTTAGATTCTAGTTTGAACAAACTACCTGTATAAGACATTTGGAGAGAACTATTCAAGAAATTTGTTATGGAGTGGTTATTAGATGATATTAAATGATTATTATTAATCATCTAAGGTGGGATAATGGAATCATCGTTGTGAAGAAAATGTGCTTAGAGATAGATACTAAGATATTTCAGAATGAAATGTCATGATTTATATATTATGTATACTTCAAAATAGAAAAGGCAAGTATGGCAGGATATTGACAATGTTCAATGTAAACTATGGGTATTGGGTATTCATTCTACTTCTCTGTCAGTTTGAAATTTTTTAAAATAAAATATTTTTTAAGACTGAGTTGTAATTATACTGTATCTAGTATCTTTTCAAAAAAGAAATCATGTTGTATTTTACTTCTTTTTAACTTATTTCCAGCTATAAAAAATATTTCCTTGAAACTCGAGTGTGAAGACAAATGTAGTTTCATTGAATTATATTGTATCTTGTTGGAACTCAGCCTTCACATTTTTCTGCCCCCAATGTACATGAGAGATAAGACGTACTCTCAGTAGTAATAGTGACTCATCAATAGTGGTGATTCCTAGAGAGGGCGAGAGTGGGGAAAACTTAAAGACGGTGAGGGAGTGAGCATGGATAGTTTAAAAGAAGTTTCACAGGTGATTCTAATTGTCCTCTGGAGATGGGACCACACGCCTAAAAGAAAAAAGGAATGTCGAATTCCAAGTAAATGTTGGAAAAATTCTTTTACAACTTATTTATTACTTAGATATTGCTTCTCTAACTTTAGAAACTATCTCCCATGGCAGAATTGCTCTTTAATTTCCAGACTCGAAACTAATCTTAAGTATAATTGGACTCTCAGAAATCATATGGTGATGCATCTTCCACTCCTTCTCACTCTCTTCAGTTGTAACTAGCAGGTGTCTGTGTGCTTCGGCCCTTGTGGGAAATTGGTGTGAATGGTATGTGAGGTCCTGGAAACAGGGCTCTCACTCTGAGGTCCTCTAACCAGTAGTCCCCAACATTTTTGGCACCTGGGACCGATGCTTTTATGAGAATCTAATGCCTAATGCTCTGAGGTGGAGCTGAGGCAGTGATGCTAGCGCTGAGGAGCGGCTGCAAATACAAATGAAACTTTGTTTGCTTGCCTCCTGTTCACCTCCTGCTATGTGGCCCAGTTCCTAACAGGCCACGGTCCAGTACTGGTCCGCCACCTAGGGCTTGGGGACCCTGCTACCAATGCCAGGTTGCTTTTTATCCAGCAACTTCTCCATAGAGTTGTTGCCCAAATCCTTTACTCTCCATTTGTAGCGGCCAGATGGCAGAGAATAAGCCTACATCCAGGCAGTTGTTTAATTCTCTCAATCAATCTGTACATATTTGTTGAGCTCCTACTCTATACAATATGCTGCCATCTAGAATAAAAAGGTGAGAGAATATTTTCCATTTGCAAGCAGTTAATATACAACAGCTAGGACGAGTAGAAAGCATGTTGCTGGAGCGTCAATGGTGAAAGCACAGGTACCGAAAGTAAAATCATGTTACTGAGAGTACTGGCATGTGACTGATAGTTAGACTGGCCAGAGGTACTGCTGAGCTGCAGTGGAGCTGACAATTGACTAGCCCATTGTCTGGGCTGTATGGGGCATCACTGGGCTGGAGTTCTTGCTGCCGGTCAGTCCTTCAGAGATGCTCTCTTAAAGCTACTTTTCCCTGTGGAGAAAACAAGAGGATGCCAACAGAGAGGAAAAAATCGTGATTATTTTAATTCTATTAGTGTTTTATTTTTTTTAAAACTGGGAGAATAATATAAAATTAAAATAAGAATTTAGAAAAAAAAACTTTGAAAAATTCTTAAAAACTTGAAAAAAGGAATATAATTACAAACTCTTTTCATCATGAATTAATGGAGGCTTCAATTTCTCCTTTCAAGAATAGAATAGAAACACTTCTTTGCTGATTTAAAGAGCTGATCATTAGAAAGAAAAGTCAAGTTCAAGTGTTGCTGGCTGAATTATAATTTTTCTTTTCAAAGTCATTATCACCATAATGTTTTGAACTGCATTTATTTCATTGTGTTATATACTCATATTTTATCAATTATTACATTTAGATATTTATATAGCACTTTCCAGGTTATATCTTCTAAAGAGAAGTTTAGGCTTAGGAAATTGAGGGACCAACAGCAGAGCTGAAAAATAATAATGTAGATGAAATTTATCTTTACCTCTGTCACCTCATTTCTTTTTTGTACTCTTTACTTATCTGGATTCCTTTCACCCATGAAAATTAGAATTTAGTAAAGAATGACTTCAATGATTTACATTCTCTTTCACCACAAGCATAATTTGCATATAATCCCCATCTAAAATGAGACTTTCCAAATGTCATTGAGCATGAAGCAGAACATCAGGGGGCCCAGGGACCTTTGTTGTATGCCTAAAATAAATCGATGATTAACATGTGTTTGCTGTATCTATTAACTGAACAAAGCATTTACAACAACATGCAAAGGTGAAAAACAGTTATTTTAGAAAAGTAGAATTCAGAATTCTGGGCAGTTGGTATAGATTTGAATCAAACTTATCTCTACGCCAAATAGAGGTGATCATATGTTTGTGTAGTTATGTAGAAATAAGGGTGGGAATAACCTAAGAGAAAACATACACCATTAGCACTTTACAGTAGTCATGTACATATAATAAATACATTAATATAATATTAAAGAATCGACCGAAAGTACAGACAATTTCAACAATCTTCAGCTATTCCCACATATTAAAGTGCATTATTGTGAATAGTTGCAAGTGATAAATTTGCATCTTTTGCAGCATATTCCTCAGTTAAGACTTTTAATTTATGTGGTTTTCTATTTCTGCTTGGTAACTGAGGCATTCTTGTATGTTTTTTTTTTTTTCTGAAAAGAATGATCTTATTTCATACTCTTGAGAAGGCAAAAATCATCACCGTTTAACAGTGACACACACAATGACCAGCTGACCCACAACTCTATACTCCTATCAACATAGCTGATAACAATAATAATGCCATAGTCCTTACCTTCAAATGCTTTAAAGTAAGTTCAACATACTGGGAAATTTTTAAGCTGTGATTTTAACTTTTAAAAAATAGATAATAGGCATACATAACAAAATTCCAAAATATATAAATGATATACAATTCTTCCAGTTTATTTCTGTCTTCCTACTGCCCAGTTATGCCCCTTAGATGTGACCGTTGCTGTAGTTTTCTTGTGTACCTCCCAGAAGTGGCCTGTGCATCGCATTTATTTCTAATGTTTATTTCATTTATTTGTTTATTTTAGATCACTCCAGAATTGATGATAAAAGCATGTACTTTTTATACTGGAAATTTAGTAAAGACCCACTTTTGGTAAGAATGTGATTTTTATATACTATTTTTTCCTCTTTGTATTCTTATTCTTGATAGTTTCCATATGAAGAAAAGCTCACTTTTGGCTAGTTGTGCTGATTTTATGTATTCAGTGATGTTTCCATAATTTATTACTATTTTTTAAAATATTTAATTAGCTTTTACTTAGTTAAAATATGTTCTTTATTTCTTCAAGGTATCACTTTCTTTTTTTAAAAATAAAACTTTAAAAGCAAAAATATAGATCCATAATTTCCTTATCTGAAACCCTTAGAACCAGATATGTTTTGAAATTTATATTCCTTTTTTTGTTTAAATTTTAGAAAGATACTCTCTATACATACTTTGTATTATGTAACATCTTCAGTGGTGTCTGAGGTGGCACTCTGAAACCAAACATATTTGAACATATTAGTATTTCTACAGCGACATATATTCTTACTAAGTGAAATGAATAAAAGCTCTGAGCAGCCATGTGTCATATCTAGAGATTTTGATGCAGAATTAGTTTAGGTCAGGTCTAGTTTTGCCTCTAAAAATAGGTTATGAAAAAACACTTTTGGATTTAAGAGTCTTCTGGGCTTCAAGGATGTAAATAAGGGAAGTGCAAGCTCAAAGGAAATGTAAAGTCTGGCTGGAAATAAAGCAATAAAAATAATTTAATGATTTCTTTCTATGCTGTGGTTTTTGAGGAGATCAAGAAGCTATTACTTTTTCATCCCTCTCTATTTAGTAATGTATCGCCATACCTGAAAATATTATTTTTCTGTATTTTCTGCCTGTAGTAGTTGGAAAAGCACAGCAATACCTCACATAAATGAAGGTGACATTCAGGCTGAAAAAATGGAAAAAGCAATGGAATATAACAATTTGAAACTTCAAAAATATGTATTTTGTCATTGGCACACTTATGTGAAAAGTAAAAAAGAACAACTTAAAGGTAAATTCTTACATAGTAGCAATTATTTTTTATATTCCTGTATTCCAAGAATCAGAAACTTTAAGTATGGTTTATACTAGAGCATTTATTATATTTATCTATTTCTTTCTTTCTTTCTTTCTTTCTTTCTTTCTTTCTTTCTTTCTTTCTTTCTTTCTTTCTTTCTTTCTTTCTTTCTTTCTTTATTATTTTTATGTCTAGATAATTACCATGAAAAGTAAAGCCACTAATTTAAAATATTGAATGAGATTTGTCTCAAGGGAGTTTATTGTAATAGAAAACAGACATTTAAAATACAATCTTAATTTTTAAAATAAAATCTGCATTTTTGTGATGTACATACAAATATAAGTATAAATAGGACCCACTGTCAGTTTTTTTACATCATAAAGAGCTGGTTTATTATAGATAGGTGCCAAACTGATTTTCTTTTAGAGAGAGTTATGTATTCTTTATAGATATTTCGTTTAATTTATACATAAGGCATAAAACATATGTTCTTTTACTTAAAACTTTGGTGGTTGTAATGAGTGGACAGTGCATGGACGTGATCTTAGGAGCAGGGGTATAGAACTCCAGCCTTTTGCTTAGATTTTATCTAGCTCACCAGATATTGATTTGTTTATGGCCGGCCGTTGCAAATCAGAGAATCATTTCCTCTTGATTGGCTACTACTGGTATCTCAGTTAAAGAGGATCCTCCAAAGGTTTTAACATTAAGGGAATGGGCCTCTATTGCTGAGAGGAAACAATTGGCTGCAGCTGTGAAGCCACTGCCCTCTGTGAGTGATATCCCCAGCCTGCCTTAGTCATCCTCCCTCCTGGCCTGGCCCTTGTAATTAAAATCAAACAAAATTATCAGATACAACATTGGTTCATATTATAAATATGATAGAATATTAAACACTTTTTTTGGAAACAGTAGTACAGTATTCTAATAAATTTTCTTCAGAAGCACTATTGCGGATACGACAGATATTCAACTATATCAAGCTAATAAATATCCTGACTAAGTGGAGGAATAAAGCAAGATATAACTATAAAAAGAGAGAAGATGAGCTGGTATGGTATATTGGAAACTTAATTTTTTTAGAAACTAAATTTTGCTGTTATATTGATGTTACCTCAGATAATAATGCTATGTGTGGAAAATACTAAAATTATGAGTATTATGTACTTTTGATGGGGTTCCTTTTCTTTTAATTTAATAATTTAAATTATACTTCGGCTACCTAAAACATCTCCTAATAAATTCTGTTTCATTTCAACTATCAACATCAAGGAAAATCTTTTAACATTTTGTTTAAACTTATTGTTAAAGATACTAAGAATTTTGTTTAAGTAAGTTTATATAGATGTCTTTAAAATGAAAGAGAAACTATTTGTTATGATTATAATAGAAAAATAAATGATAAAGATGGAATAAATTTATTTTTTCCAGATAAGGTTAAGTTGCCATTTTTTTCAATTTAATAAATTATCTTAATATTAAATTATTTTTGAAATTACTAAATTGCTAAACTTAAAGTACCATTCTTTTTTAAATTAAATTTTTTTTATTTTCACCTTTTATGTTTATTTATTATTATTTTTTTAAAGTATCATTCTTAACTGACACTCCCACTAGGAATTAAAGCAATTAAAACAGAGAACCCAAGCAAACTCTTTCAAACTTAAAAATATCTCTCGTTAGCTTAAACTATTACTATATTATTATTTAATGTATTAGAATATTTACAGTAACTACTGGGATTAGGATTCCAATATGCTGCAAATTTTTGTAGTTACATTATTTAGTAGGTAATTTTTTATTAATATTCTTTGAAGAACAAAGTTGAGATAAATAGGAAAGAGAAAAGTAGGAAGAAATTAAACCCGCTGTTTTGCGGTTGTGTCGTGGAGGGCATGATCAATGGCCTCCTACGACAAAAGATGTTGAAACCAATGATACTACTACACACATACAAAGAGTATGAAAAGATATATTACTCACATAATAAAAGATATATTACTCAGTGCTAAAGCCTGTGGTGGATATTGAGATGACTAAAGCATAGTTTTTGCTACCTAAAAGTTGGTCGTCTACTGGTATTGAAGTGGTGTTCTTGCCGGATGTCCTCTAGCATTCGCCTTTTGTGGACTGCTCATTCAGTGTTTTCCACCACTTTGTGCACTAAACTAGTTTTGACTCCAGCCCCGATGTCTGATTATCGATTGTCTAATGGCAAAATAGGTAACTGTACATGACCAGTCTGTCCATTTTACACCCTCCTTGAACTGAACAACCCCGAGAGCAGACAATATTGTTTTGGATGTGTATTATATAGTTAATGGGGTGTTCAGAGAAAATATATTTTTTTTAGCTATGTGATTTCTTGGCCTCACAATCATTCTGTATTCACTTAGGTGGAGTGAGGATGGCAGGTGTGTGCTGGGAAAAGGGGAACACTTCTGTGTGCTAATTCTCCAATGTGTGTTCTTCCTTAGAGTCTATTATATATATTAAAACAAAATTGTGTGTGTGTGTGTGTGTGTGTGTGTATGTGTGTGTGAAATGGATGAAACACTTATTTACTTACTCTTGGGGCATTTTCTTGATTATGCCATTTTCAGGCAAACCCCAAAATTCTTTTCTCTGACTCTCCTTTTTATTTTCATGCTAACCATCTCCGTTCTATGCCCCCAAATACCAATGCTGTCGCTACCAGAACCTTGACTTTGGGCTTTAGCTTCCTTATCTATAAAAGAGGAGACTGGATCACACTTTCTGAGGTGGCTGTCTAAACCAATGTTGTATGACAACTAATGGAAATGATCTATAATGCTCTAGTGGTTCGGAGAATATTAAACATGCTTTGGATAATGATAATTTATGTAATGATGATGATAATAAATAGTGTTTAATTGGTGCTATTATTGTGTTAAGCATTGTGCTTTGTGTGTATCATCGCATTTAACCCTTACATCAATTCCAGTGAATTTGTAAATTATTTTCATAGCGGATATTGAAACATGAACTTCAATTGAAAAGATGGAGAAACAGGATAAAATTCAAAGAACATGCTGAAGAACAATCCATTTCTTCTGAACAAAGTCTGTCTGAAGGCTCTCTTGGTGAGATTTCTCAATGTGACCTTTCGCTATTACCAGAAAGAGCAATATTGCAGGTTCGTATGAATTTATAGGTCTTAACTAGTTATTTTCAAATTGTCTGTTTAAATAGTGATTTTATGAACCTTATATCAATGATGAAAGCCATATTTTGAAAAAAAATTTTTTTTTACAACTAGCTGTTAGCTATCTCATTTTTTTGGAGATATTCCTTTTGGATGCCTATAAGATAAATATAACAATCAAAAATGGAGAAATTAAAGCTGTAGGAAATAAGAATGAAAGGAATGTTTTCCTTTTTTCCCTCCTTCAAACATATGTTGTCACTTAAGGTGCAATAGATTTTAAATAGCCCAATGCTTACCTTTTAATCTCTAATTTATAATCCTTTAATCAAATGTTATGTCTCTACTCTGGAAAGTAAATGGGGCTTCTCTTATTGCAGCATTCAGCTAGTTATGCATATCATCTTCCTTAGATTGTGAATTCATAAAAATAAGAATCATGCATCTATATCTTATATCTTATTATTCTCTGAAAAATAAGCCATAATTCCAACTACTGGTTATATTCTATTCTATTTTGATAGATAAGTAATTTCTAAGTTGCTGACATGATACCCCATCACCTCTGAATATTATTGGTGTATTTCCTGTAATCAAGGGCATCCTCAGACCTAATTCAGGTTTCTTCATTGTTTGAGACTACCTGACAAGTGGTGGAAAAATTGTAAAATATCACCTTATTCTGGTTGACGGCAGCTTTACATTATAAAATCCCATGTATTAAATCCACCCTTCTAAATGTACAGAACTGAGCTCAAATTATTTTTGGGTACAAGATCTATATCTACATCTAATCTTATACTTTATGTATAACATCAAGTTAGGATAAGGATATTTTTGCCTATTCTTTTCTCTTTATAAATTGCCTGCTCATATCTTATTCTTTATAAAATTTGAATTCCTATAATTTTCTTATTAGTTTGTAATAGCTCTTTATATATTGGTAATAAGAACCATCTACCTGAAATATATTTGAGATTTTTCTCCCTATACACTCATGTTTGCTTTCAATTTTGCCTATGGAGTCTTTGATGAGAGAAAATTTAAAGCTTCATATAATAAACTCTATTTTTCTAAGCCATATCACACTCCTTCCTCCAATTATGTAGCTGTTTTGTCTTTAAACTCTTACACTTTTGACTGCTAATGTTTCTTTGTTCATCAGTGGCTGCTCTAGGGTTTATAGTATTCATTTTCAACTTATGACAGATTAGGCCTTCAAATAATTTTCTATCATTTCACACATAATGTAAGAACCTAACAAGAGTATGCTTTCATTTTCCTTCTTCTGTGCTTTGTGCTATTATTGCCATTAATTTTATTTCTATGTATTTATAAACCCTGTAATATGATTTATTTTTGCTTTAAACAGTTAATTATATTTTATTCAGTATTTTTTACTTTTAATAATCTGAAACTTACATAAAAGTTGCAAGTACAGTACAAAGAACTTTTTTTCCTAAACAATTTGAGAGTAAGTTGCTGACATGATACCCCATTACTACTGTATTTCCTGTAAACAAGGTGTTCTCTTACAGTCATCAAAATCCTCAGATTCAATTCACATTTCTCTACTTGTCCTAGCAACATCCAAATAATGCCAAACGATCCAGTCCCGAATCACATACAATAATTGTCATGTCTTCTTAGTCTCCTTTACTCCACAACTGTTCCTCAGTCTTTCTTTAATTTTCGTAACCTTGACATGAAGATTGGGCCAGTTTTATTGCAGAATATCTCTTAATTTGAGCTTATTTCATGTTTCCTCAAGAATGTATCCAGGTTATGTATTTTTGTTAGAAATACCAGACATCTTGCTGTGCTCTTCTCACTGCATCATATCAGTGGCGTGGGATTTGGATTTGCCCATCGTTGGTGACAGTCACTTTGATCACTTTATTAAGATGGTGTCTGCCAGCCTTCTCCACTATACAGTTTCCCCCTTTATAACTGCTATGCATTTTGTGGGTAGTTACTTTAAAATATTCTCATTCCTCATCTCAATTTGTTTATTTATTTATATCAGCATGGACTTGTGGCTTTCTAGTTTATTTAATGGTTATAATCCACAACTACCACTATTTATTTTGGTGTTCGAATTGTCCCAGATTTGGACAGTTGGAGTCCTTTCAAGTTTCCTTCCTTGTCCTTTTGACAGGCAACCATCATCCTTTCTTACTTTGTAGCACAGCACGATGTCCTGGGCTCATCTTGTACTTTCCCCACTCTGGATAGGTTATTTTCTCCAAGATTCCCTGAGTCCTTTTTAATGTACATGGAAACCAAGTTGAGCACTACCTGTGTTCATTGCCATTGGAGTGGCGCTTCTCCAATGCGGTCTCAGTAGATACACCTAGAGACTATAAGTAGCACACACATTTACACATTTATTTCCATATCTACATACCTCTACTAACTGAAAACCTAAATTGTACATGGATACTTCTAGCTCCTAATTAGCACCACAAGGCTTATTTCTAGTTTCTCCCTTTCCATATTTGCAATATCTTCCTCTAGCAGTAAGAATCCCTGCTCTTATTATTCTTAATATACTTATTTGCTCACCTTCCCTGTGTGTAACCAGTCATATACATTGCTGCTCCTATCCCGTCCTTGTGTGGATACCTTCTTCATTTTGCTTAGGCTTTGACATCTCTTATCAGGCCACCTTCTTGTGCAGAGGTCCTTCTCATATTGTCTGGGCTCTGACATCCTATGCCAGTTGCCTTTCCCGCTATGTATTTGTCTTCTTAACTTTGTTTGGAATAAAACACCATGCACTGAGTGCTTTCCTACATAGATCCACTCTTTACCCTACTCAGGCTCTGACACCCATGCATAGGCTGCCCCTCTTTGGGGATGCCCTCCTTACACTGTGTAGGCTGGTCCCCCAGCCCCCATAGCTCTTTCCACATCCAACTTGGCCCCTGGTATCTTACACAGGGATTCCCTTCTTTGGTTTACCCTCCTTGTTCTGCTCAGTCTCTGACATCCCATTCTGGCTGCCCTTTATTAGGGACACCACCCTCTTCCCTCTCAGGCTCTGGCACTGTATCCTCCATGTTATCCTCCATGTGGATAGAGACCCTTCTCACCCTGCTTGCTCTCTAGGGAAGTTTTATTTGGTTCATTCAAAAGATTTTTACTTTTCTTCTTAATTTTTTTCTTTTAAATTGTTGAAACTTTTTATAATAGTTGTTGTAAAGAAATTGTCTATTAGTTCTGTTACCCCTAAAGTTTCTCTATGTGTTTACTTTTTCATTTTCTAATTACAGTTGACATACAATATTATATTAGTTTCAGGTGTTCAACATAAACATTCATGAAACTGATGAAGTGATCACCCCTATATGTCTAGAACCCATCTGACACCATACATATATATTACAACATAATTGTCTATATTGCCTAAGCTGTACTTAACATCCCTGTGACTGTTTTAATAACTAGCTATTTGTACATTTTTTTTGGCAATATGAGACTTTTATTGCACCTTTAAAATATCTTATCTCAAATAAGTCTGAGGAATCACCCAACATCTTGGCATTTCTGCTGGACAACTTAGATCTTATTCATCAGCCTGCTTTACAACATAATTGTCTATATTGCCTATGCTGTACTTAACATCCCTGTGACTGTTTTATTTTTATCTCTTGTGTACATTTTTTTTGGCAATATGAGACTTTTATCGCACCTTTAAAATATCTTATTTCAAATAAGTCTGAGGAATCACCCAACATCTTGGC